ACACACAGTAAATCACACATACAACCATATCACACACATACGCAACCACCTCTCACGGTGGTTGGCGGTGGCAAAAGAAGCACCTTAGCGACAACCATTATAGTTGGTTGCCATGGTGGTCCACATAGCTTTCCAGTCAGCAACACACCCCTACACACACTTCACGAACACGAGCTGTGCACAAGAAACGCACCTAATCACAACCACCCTCATGGACAATCGGAAGAGAAATGGAGAAGGGAAATGGTGGTGTGAAACCCACCAAGTACAACAACAACAACAATAATGAGAGAGACGCCTGCTCGTGATCCTCGTCGGCAACTGGAGTGACGCCGACGGTGAACGGTTAACGAATCACATTGGTGGCTACGTCTTTGGCTGGAAACGACAGTCGTTTGGCGGCTATGGCTGACAGGAAAATGAGTGAAGCACGTGGTGGCGACTGAAAGTTACACATGGCGGCTAAAGAGATGACGAATTAGGTTTAGGGTTGAAGGTATCCGGTGATGTATCTTGAAGCGGGAAGGGAAGGGGGTCCGGGTCTAAACCCGTGATCCTTTCAAACATTAACCCATTTTTTACAAGTTTGGACCCTCCTCCACCAAAACTTTTCAACATAACTCCAATATTTACCATTTAACCTCTTACCTTGAAAAATCCTTTCATAATAAGTTCATAGTTTACCAAACATACCTTGACTTCTGAAATCCTTTTCAAATTAAATCCATAACTTACTAAACAACCCTCAAACTTCAAAACTCTTTACAAACTAATTCGAAAATTACATTTTAACCCCTAAAATATCAGTTACGACATATTCAACCCTTCTTTCTCTAATTATTACCATATAAATCCCCATTTTACTCTTTAGCCCTTGCTTCCCACAATTTATTACAATTTAAGTCCAAATATTACAATAAAGATCCAAAATTTCCAAAAATTATGTCATTTAGCTCCTTATGACTAACACTGGTAACTTATTAATAATTTAGGGCTACTATTTGTTATTAATTTTATCAATTTATTTATTTAATAAGCGGGATGTCACACAAAATGTATGGATTTTGATGGTAAGAATTTATGTAATGTTGGTATGGTGTTTATGGTAATTTTCATAGCATTTTGGTTAAAATATGTGTAATGTTGGTATAGTGTTTATGGTCATCGTTTTATTATCTTTTAGACAAAATTACAAAAATAGTCCCTGTGGTTTGCTAAAAATAACAAAGTTAGTCCCTGTTCATTTTTTTTGATACAAATAGCCCCTGTAGTTTTCAAAACTTACATAGATGACCATTTTTACTAACATTGTTAGTATTCAGAGGGCGTTTTCATCTTTTCAAGTATAAAATGACTGAATTCGTAACTTTGGTTAAACCATAGGGACCATTTTTGTAATCCATCTTAAAATGATAAGAGTGATAGAAAACAAGAGAATGAGGATTCGAACTTGAGACCTTCTATCCCTCTCATTTTTCAACCAAAACTCTAGCCCACTAGGCTAGAGTCAAACTTGTTTTTTTTTTTTTTCCGAAAATTAATATATATTACCAAAAAAACGCAAATATATTAATAAAAAAATACATATTTTACAAAAAAAAAAACTTTTTTTAAATTAAAAAAATTTATTTTTAGCATTGTAAACAAAATATATTTTACAAAAACAATTTACTTGTTTTTTTTACGTATTTGTCTTCCATAATTTTTTTTTATGTATTTAAAAAAATACGTTTTCATATAATATGTTATTACATTGTTATGATCTTAAAACATGTTTTTACGTTTTTATAAAAATATATATTTTTTTCTTTCACATAGAAAACAAAGATTTTTTTACGTATTTATTTATGTAAAATATGTTTTTTTATATATTTAAAAAATATATTTTTCGTATTAAATGTTTTTACGTAAAAAAATTTCGAACGTGATAACATAACGTAAAAAAATGTTTTAGGATCAAATCAAAACGACTTATATTTTCTACGTAAAGCAAACTAAAAACGTTAACATAACGTAAAAATACTTTTTTGTATGATATGTTACCACGTTAATGTTTTTATCGTAAAACGCATTTTAAGATAACATATTTAAGATAACACATTTTTACGAAAACACATAAAAACATATTATACGACAACACATTTCATATAAATAATTATTTAAAATAACATATTAAGCTAATTTAAGACAAAATATTATAAACATTACATATATATTTAAGATAAAATATTATACAAAAACACATATTTACGAAATAATATCTTGTTCTTAATGTTTTTACGTAAAAAAAAAAAACAATAATTGCAAACCAACTAAAGACGTTAACATAAGGTAAAAATATATATTTTCGGATTATAACAATCTAATAATATTTTATACAAAACATATTTTTTAAATATATAGAAAACATAATTTACATAAAATAAATACGTAAAAAAAACCTTTTTTTATACGTGAAAGAAAAAAAAACATATTTTTATATGAAAACGTAAAAATATGCTTTAGGATCATAGAAATGTAATAACATATTTTACGAAAAAGTATTTTTTTTTAAATACATAAAAAAATATTTTATGAAAAAAAAAGTAAATTGTTTGTAAAAAATATTTTTTTTGCAATACGCTAAAAATATATTTTGTTCAATTTAATTTATTTTTTATTTTTTATTTTTGTAAAAATATGTTTTTTTTTATTAATGTATTTGCGGTTTTAGATAATATATATTATTTTTCGGAAATATAAAACAAGTTCACTCTAGACTAGTTAGCTAGAGTTTTGGCTAAAAAGGAGAAGAGAGGAGTCCAAAGTTCGAATCCTCCTTCCCTCATTTTTCTTTCATACTAAGACAAATTACAAAAATTGATCCCTCATTTTTCTTTCATACTTTTCATTTTAAGACAAATTACAAAAATGATCCCTGTGGTTTAATTAAAGTTGCGAATCCAATTCTTTTATACTTGAAAAGACAAAAATACCCTTACTAATAAAACCCCTAACTTGCGAATCCAATCCTTGTATACTTGAAAAGACAAAAATACCCTTACTAATTCAGCCCCTAACAACTTTTCATTTTAAGACAAATTACAAAAATGGTCCCTGTGGTTTAACCAAAGTTGCGAATCCAATTCTTTTATACTTGAAAGGACAAAAATACCCTTACTAATAAAACCCCTAACTTGCGAATCCAATCCTTGTATACTTGAAAAGACAAAAATACCCTTACTAATTCAACCTCTAATGAATTTTCATTTTAAGACAAATTACAAAAATGGTTCGTGTGGTTTAACCAAAGTTGCGAATCCAATTCTTTTATACTTGAAAAGACAAAAATACCCTTACTAATAAAACCCCTAACTTGTGAATCCAATCCTTGTATACTTGAAAAGACAAAAATACCCTTACTAATTCAACCCCTAACGACGTTAGTAAAAAGGGTCATCCGTGCAAGTTTTGAAAACCACAATGGCCATTTACATCAAAAAAAAAAATTAAGAGTGACTAACTTTAATAATTTTAGCAAACCACATGGACCATTTTTGTAATTTTGTCTATCTTTTATAATCCAAATTGTTTCCTAATGTAAGGATATTTTGATCCATCCTTTTTTGGTCACTAGTTTGTTACATAAGTAAATGGTAGTTTAGTCCACTAGTCATATAACATCATACTTCCAATTCATTTGGTAATTATTTTTTTGATATTCTTCATAGCAATTTGGTCAAAATATGTGTATTGTTGGTATAGTGTTTATGGTCATCATTTTTATCTTTTATAATCCTAATTTTTTCATAAGGTAAGGGTATTTAGGTAGGGGTGAGCGCGGTGCGGTTCGGTGCGGTTATTAGCTAAAACCTCACCACTAACCGCAAATGCGGTTAATCCATTTTGAAAACCGCATAGTGCGGTTATTTTTGTGGTGCGGTTAGGCGGTTATTTTTGCGGTGCGGTTTTGTTTTTTCTGTGTTGCGGTTATTAACCGCATGGAATTGGTGCGGTTATTTTGTATGGTTTTTAACCACAATTTAGAGCTCAAACGGTTTTAAAAGTTCAAACATATTACTTGTAATAATAAAAAAACCATAAAGTATAAGACAATTAACTTAAATTACAAACAACTAATATCTTAAAAACGTCAAATCAATAGTAATTTACAAAAAATATCTTAAAATTGTCAAATTTCACCATTTTTTAAAGTTAAACATAACAAAACACTAATATTTTGGTCTTCTAGTATTTTATCCATCTTTCATCCATAAAACTTATGTTATTTTTAGTATTTAATATATTAATAAATAATTAAAAAAATTGTATATAACATATGCGGTGCGGTGCGGTTTTTGAAAACTAATAACCGCACCGCACCGCAAATTTGCGGTTTTTGAAAAACAGAAAACCTCATCATCGGTTTTAATTGCGGTTGCGGTTTATCGGTTGCGGTTTATGCGGTTTTTGCGGTTAAATTTAATTGCGGTACGGTTTTTGCTCACCCCTATATTTAGGTCATTAGTTTGTTACGGTAGTTTGGTCCACTAGCATAGCATCATACTTCCAACTCACTATCATAAACATATACACTTCACTACCCCTTGTAAACCATCTCAAGTAACGGGTTATATATTACATTTAGTAAAAAATCAATAACATAGTGTCAAAATTTTTTTTAAAAAAAATACAATCTCAAATTTGAATTTATCTGTGTTTTGTACTATTTACAACCAAATGGAAGAAAATTTCCATTTTTTTAGTTTTGATTTGATAACGTTAACGGTAAGGGTTCCCTCGATTCTAGTGAGCACTTCCCGTGTTTGCGAGACCCGCGAATTGGAGTTCTGGGCGCGGGAATCCCTCGTTTGAATCTACAGCAATCCCCATCGTATTCTTTTTTTTTTTTGGAAACGGCCATTGTATTCAAACCCTAATTCCACTTCCACCCACTGTTTTTCTTCTTCCTGTATAAAGTGCTTTTTATTTTCTTGAGTCTCAAGAATTAGTTTTTATTGATGGCGACAACAATTACAGAGAACAGGAATAATGAAATCAATCACATGGTGATGAATGTCGAGGTGGCTGTTAATGACCAGGAACGATGTCGTGTTGGTGTTGATGCTGACGGTGTACCTTCGTCTTTGCCTTCTCCTCATATTCTGAAAGAACGATTTAAAACTATCAATGGTGATGCAGGTGAAGAACAAAGTGGGATTTCTGAATCTGAAGCAGAGGGGAAGGTGAATGTTCAGAAGAATAGAGGTAGGAAAAGAATTCGGAAAGGGAACAACGGGATCAGTGATACTGCTGCTAAATCTCAAGAGAAAAAGATCAAACCACGTGGTCGCCTGAAGCAGGTTGTTACTACAAAAGAAGAGAGGATGGCGGTTGGTGTTGTGAAGTCAAGTGATGATGATAACAAGTCCTCAAAAGAAACAGAAGAAGGTATGGTTGATGCTGAAACCGATCTTGCTACTACTGATCGAGAGGGAAATGTTATCAACCAAGTAGTAAACAACAAAGACGACAAAAAAGAGAGTGGAAGGCCCAAAAGAAGTACTAGGAATGAGGTTATTAATTATGCAATTTTTGACTATTATTATGATTTTGAAGAGGATGTACGGAAGAAGATACACCAGCGATCAGTTCCAAAGAAACAAAAGATGGGTGAAGAGGAACAAGATAAAGAAGATGGTGATGGAGGTATAGAACAAAATGGGGGTTCTAAATCTGAAGCAGAGGGGAAGGAGGGTGCTCAGAAGAAGAAAGTCTGGAAAAGAGGTCGGAAAGCGAAGAATGGGAACACTGTTACTGCTACTAAATCTCCAGAGAAGAAGAATAAATCACGCCAGAAAAAGCTTTGTCTTTCTACAAAAGAAGTAAGGAAGATGACAATTGGTGTTGTGAAGTCACGTGACGATGATAACAAGCTCCCAGAAGAAACAGAAGAAGATATGGTTGATGCTAAAACTTCTATTGCTACACCTGATCGAGAGGGAAACAGAACCAATGAAGTAATAAACAGTAAATATGTCAAAAAAGAGAGTGGGAGGCCCACAAGAAGTCCTAGGAATGCCGATTTTAGTTATGCTGAGGATGGAAGGAAGAAGAAACATCTGCAGACAGTTCCAAAGAAAGAAAAGAGAAGCAAGAAAGCTTCAAGCTCAATCAAGAAGGAGGAATCAAGGCCAAGGTGTGCCGCAAGGCACAAGGTTCCAGATGAAAATGTAACACTGGTTTCCCTCTTTCTCTATTTAAATTTAAATACATCTCCTTGATTAAACAATAAACGTCATCTCTTTATCTTCTTCCATTTGTTGGCAGGGAAATCTAGTTTATGTACCTTCAAACATGTGTCATCAGTGTCAAAGAAACGACAGTGGACGAGTTGTTAGGTGCCAGAAATGCACTACAAAGCGTTACTGTGTCCCTTGCATGACAAGATGGTATGATTATGAAAGATCAAAACTTTTTCTTCCCTCTTTCTAACTGAGTAATCAAATTGAGTGATTGCTTTGCAAGGTGCAGTCTAATGGACTTGCTTTTTAACTTGATGTCTGGTTGTTTACTCTGTCTTTTAGGTATCCTAACATGACAGAGGAGATGTTTGCTGAGTGTTGCCCTGTTTGCTTAGACAAGTGCAACTGTAAAGGTTGTTTGCGGGATGTGCATCCTAAAGTTGGTTCCTGCAGCTTTATCTTTTGTTATGGAACTTGTTTTTGTTCTTACTCTTATGCAAAAAAGAAATTTAATACTGAATCTGTTGGTTTTTTAGGTCAAACAAAAGATTGATTTTAAACCTGATGATGATCAGAAAATCCGGTATTCTGTTTATATCCTACATGTGCTTCTTCCATTCTTGAAGCGTCTCAACAAGGAGCACATAAAGGAGAAAGAATTAGAATCTAAAATTCAAGGTATTTCACTTGTTCATCTCTATGTTCTTTCTGTTTTTTCAAATATGATTCTTGACTATTGATGATGAGTGTGTCTTTAACCTGAACTCTCATTGTTCATCATTTAAACTTACCCTTGGCTTGATGATGAGTTGTAAACTTGTAACGATGATAATGTGAGTTTGCTCACTAAAAGGGTGGCTTAAATAGATAATCAGCAATCAGTCATACTTTATGTAGGTTTCCCTAAGTTTTTTATTTTTTGGGCAGGATCTATTTTATCAAAGGTAAAGTTGAAGAAGGCAAAGTGCAGCCCAAATGAGCGCATGTACTGGTATGTCTTTTCAGTGATTGTACAAGTATACGAGGATCTTGTTTCACAATATTTATGTTCTTTCATTTTTTTTCTTGATTATAGCATCCTACTTTCATTTGTTTATCTTACAACATTTTACTCTGAAAACTACTCAATTGTGAGTTAATGTATGCAGTGACTTTTGTAAAACATCAATATTTGATCTGCATAGAAGCTGCCCTTCTTGTCAATATGACCTTTGTCTTGAATGTTGCTGGGAATTGCGAGATGGAAAACATATGGGAAACAAGGAAGAAGTTATGGCTGATTTTAATGATCCAGGTCCTGATTACTTACATGGGGGGAAGCCTCTGAAAGCTAAGAAGGCTGTTAAACATCCTCCACGAAAGAAAAAGCAAACTCATAACTGGAAGTCTCTGGATGATGGCAGAATTCCTTGTCCTCCAAAAAGTATGGGTGGTTGTGGTTGTGGTATTTTAGAGTTGGTTCACATAAGGCCACGTGACAGTGTTTCAAAATTGTTGGAGAAAGCACAAAAGCTCTTAAAGACACACAAAATGGAGGAAGATATGAGGGATATGCCTGAGAAATGGTGCACATGTTCTTCAAATGGTGGTGATCAGCAGTTACGAAAAGCTGCTTCCCGTGAAAATTCAAATGACAATTACTTGTATTGTCCACGTGCTATTGACATTAAACCTGGAGATTTAAAGCATTTTCAGTGGCATTGGTCAAAAGGGGAGCCTGTAATTGTCAGCAATGCTCTTGAAACTACACTCGGGTTGAGCTGGGAACCCATGGTTATGTGGCGTGCTTTTCGCCAGATTTCAAATCTCAATCATGATCAGCTCTTGGATGTAGCTGCTCTTAATTGTTTGGATTGGTGTGAGGTATGTTAAGTATTTCTTTTTGGGCTAATTGCAAGAAGTAGCTACATACTTTCATCTATTTGTGTATTATATCATCCTACTTTCATTGCTTTCTATTTTTATCTCATTATAAGGCATTGTAGTCATGTAGTGTCAAAAATCTACCCATTTATGGCATTTTACTTTCAAGTTATTTGTATTAGACTATTAGTACATGATACTTTGAAAAGTCTACCCGTAGCAGTGAAAACTTGCACTGTATTTGGTAACTGTTGGATGGATACAGTTCATACAAGCTTCGGACAATATTTTTAATTACTCCCAGTATTTAATTTTCTAGAATCTATGTTAGATTTTATTCGTTTAAGTTAAAATGATATTTTGGGGTATTTACATGCCTAATCAACCTTTCTTGTGGCATGCAGTTAGATATCAATATTCATAAATTTTTTACTGGGTATTTGGAAGGTAGATATGACAAAGAAGGGTGGCCTGAGATCCTAAAGTTGAAAGACTGGCCTCCATCAAGTTTATTTGAAGAACGGTTGCCACGTCATGGTGTTGAATTCATCACTTCCTTACCCTTTAAAGAATATACACATCCTCGTGATGGATACTTTAATCTTGCAGTGAAGTTGCCTAAAGAATCTTGTAAGCCAGACTTGGGTCCTAAAACATATATAGCTTATGGCATTCATCAAGAATTGGGACGTGGAGACTCTGTAACTAAACTTCATTGTGACATGTCTGATGCGGTATGCTTTCTCTATCTTGTTAGGGTTTGGGGTTTGTAATTAACTTTGGGTTTTTAGACATCTCTAAGAAAACTCTGCTGCATCTATCCTTACTAAGTATATTTTGTGGTGACATGCAGGTGAATGTGCTGACTCATACTGCAAGTGTGACCCTCGGCTCTGAACATTGTAAAAGGATAAATGTATTGAAACAACGACACAAAGCTCAGGATGAGAGGGAACTTTTTAGACTGGTGGGGAAGAAACATCAAGATGTTTATGACATGAAAGATGCCACTGCTGAGGTAGTTGTTGGCCTGAAAAAACAAGGTCTCCCATTTAAAAAAATCATTGAATCTAAAGTTGAAAAAAGCACGAGTGATGTCAATATGGGAGAAACAAGCGCTCATGTTTATGCCCATGTTTACAGTAGACGCAAGCGAAAAAGTGGGGATGAAACAGCTTCTTGTCTTGTGACTAGTACTAGTGATCAAGCAGATGAAACTGCACTGAAGGAGGATAGATGTGAAGGACCTGAGTCTAAAAGTGATGAAAAAGATAAGAAGAAGAGAAAGGATTCCACGAAAAAAGTTGAGGGACAAGATGGACATAGAAGAAGTACAAGGAATTGCAGGAAACAAGTGAAAGCATCAGTTACAAATAACGAGGAAACAGAGGCTAGTGAAGAAGTTAAGAGTAGGAGAAAGGATTCCAAGAAAAGCGTTGTGGGACAAAATGGAATTAAAGGACCTAAAAGGAAGGGCGAGAAAAAAGTGATATCTTCTGATGGTGAAGAAGTTGATAACCAGGTTGATATATCAGGTAGATGTGTGGATGGATTTGATTTGGGAGATGGAGGTGCTCTGTGGGACATATTTCGGAGGGAAGATTCGCCTAAACTGGAGAAATATCTCAAAAAACACTTTAAAGAGTTTAGACATATCTTTTGTCGCCCTGTGGAACAGGTAGTCCTTACTTTTAGTTGAAATTCCTGTATGTGTAGCATTATGTTCCTAAATAATAATCTCTTAAACTGTTCCATTGTGTTTTATTTGGTCCAGGTCATCCACCCAATTCATGACCAAACATTTTACTTAACCATGGAGCATAAAAGGAAGCTTAAGGAAGAGTTTGGTTAGCCTTACATCTGCAAGGCTCTGTATCAGATTTCACTGTTATAAAATTTCTGAATTGTGCTTATCTTTTTGGTTGTCATCAGGAATTGAAGCATGGACTTTTGTCCAGAAGCTTGGGGATGCTGTATTTATACCTGCTGGCTGTGCCCATCAAGTTAGAAATCTAAAGGTTAGTAACTTACTACTACTTTTTAGATTCTTTTTATTAAGTTGCTTCATCTGTAATTAATAGGGAGTGTTGGAATGAAAGGAATTGGCATGTCGTTATATAGTGATTCAGAGAATGATGACATGGCAATACTATTGGCCTTGTTAGGGCATGATCATGAATGACTACGTAGTGGTTAACTTCATGTATCGCAATGATGATATTGGAGCATCTCAGTCCTCATGCCTTCGCTGATCTTCATACCCTGGTTCACATCTTGAATTTGACTGAGTTTGACTTAGTCAGACCGTCTTGGATTGAGTTTTTCCGCGTAGGCACTGCCTAATAATACTTATAATCACATTCAACATGGAGCTTGATTTATTTGGCTGATTAGCTTTAGTCCTACTCAGTGACAGTTCTCTTAGCGCCTAGGCACTGCCTAATAATACTTATAATCACATTCAACATGTTTGCCTCACAACCTTACGAACATATAATCACTACTACAAATGCCTCCAATATCACAACCATGCCCATCCAAATCTACTACCTCCACTCATCCTAATGCTTACTAGATCCAAGTTAGGCATCTTAGAACTAAAAGAGTAAATTACATGGATGGTCCCTTTGGTTTGGGGTAAATTTACGAGTTTGCTCCCTAACTCCTTTTTTTTTTTTTTAAAATTTTTTTTAATAACTCGGACGGTCCTTTAAACTTTATTTTGTTGTGTATTTGGTCCCTAATAACATAAAAAGACAGTTTTACCCCTATAATTTAATATTCAGATTTTATTATTTATTTATTATTTGAAAAAGATATATATTAAAATAATCCATGTGGTCCCACCAACCAAAAACTTATTTCCCTTACTTCCCTCTCTTTAGCTTTCACGTTCTAATCTGTAACCCTCCTCCATCTACACCTTCTCACCACCGACTCTGCCTCCCTCACACCCCTCACTGTCGACATCAATCTCCTCTTTACCATATCTCCACCTCTCACTTCATCGGTGATAGAATCCCAAAATAACCCGACCTAAATACCCCTGCAAGTTTGCGACTCATGTGGTCGCCACTGCCGCCAGCCTCCATTGTCAAGAGATTGTCCGACACCCTTTCTCTATATCGTCGGTGTTATCCGCCTCTCTCTATTTCACCGGTTAACAAAAATCGATGTTTAGTTTGCAAGAATCGGACGATTACAGGTTGTTTGTTGATATGGGCATTTACAAACCGATTGTCAATGCTTGTTTGCCGATCTGGTTTTAGGTTTTGGGGATAGCCCGAGATAAGTTCCTTTTAGTTACAAATCAACCTTGTCTATGTTGTATCTCTGGTCAAGAATTAAGCTCCGGTGTTGTATCTGGGTTTCAAAGATCACGTAACACAAATGTATAGTAGGGACCAAACGTGCAACAAAATTATATCTTAAAGACCGTCCGAGTTAAAAAAAGGGGTTGGGGACCAAACACGCAAATTACTCAAAACCACAAGCACTCTCTGTGTAATTTACTCAAACTATAACTTATATTTCCTCCTTTCTCAAGTCCCTAAGTGCTTATGTTTCTTCGACTATTGATCTTGAAATAGTGTACCAAGCCCTCAATGAAAACATAAATCACTTGGGTTCTTTTCATTGTGAGTCACATCAACACCATGGGTAACAATTTGTTTTCACATCAAATACAACTCAAATTGTTCATTGTTGAACGTAATGATAGCCATATCATTATTGAGCACCTATTGTGATCATTGTTGTAAAAGTCGCTTGGCGGTACTAAGTTGGCCTACTAGTGACTAGAGATTGGTCGGCTTATATTCATGGATTAGTTGGTGAATAGTTAGGTACCCTAAATTGTAAATCGGTTAAATTTTAGAATAAATAAATGACTAATATCACATCAAAGTAGGTTTAAATATGATAAATATCATAATGTGAATATGACTAATACAATACTACTTATTCCTCAAATAGTTTTGATCAAAATAAAACTTCTTCAAGGTGTTCAAAGTTTGTACAACTTCACTAATTGTTTAGGCAAGGATGGCCGCGTACCGCCTAGGGACTAATCGGAGATTAATCGGGGACTAATTGAGATTTTTACAACATTGATTGCAATTGGTAGACACAATCATGCAATTTTTGGACTAAGCAAGTCCCTTGTGCTTTGTCTGACAAATTGTGACCCTTACTTGTCACTTTGGATTTTGAACAACGTGTTTCATGGTGATGCTTTATATTCCTTGTCTTGGTTTATGTGGATGACATTTTGTTTGCAGGTAATAAATCTAAACAAATATGAGACAACATTTCTAAACCGAGTGTCCAGTTTCCACTCAGAAGGCTAGTTGCTAGCTTTCTTGGTTTTGAGACAACTAGAGGCAATATGGAATTCATTTTACAAAGGGATTCTAGCTCAAATGTATCAGGTGTTTCCCTCTCTTCTTGAGGTCAAAGGGTTCTACGTCCCTTCTAGGACATAGGACATAGGTGAACTCAAAAGTAGATTAGGGGCATGTTTGGGTTAGCTTTTTATCACAAAAGTGATTTAAAAATGCTTATTAGCTTATAGCTTTTAGGAAAACCTGATTTCAGAAAGTGTTTGGATAAGAAAAGCTGCTTTTAGGAGTAAAATGACTAAAAAGCTAAAAAGCTAAAAAGCTAAAAAACTAGGATTTTTCAGCTTTTTGAAAACTTTACTTTTTCTTATCCAAAAAGCTGTTTTAAAAAGCGCTTTTTAAATACTATAACACTTTTTTTAGCTTATTAGCTTTTTGAAAAGTTAAAAAGCTAATAAGTTATTTTAAAAAGTTATCCCAAACACCCACTAGATTTGCTGTTTCAAAAAAAAAAAGTAAACCATTGACATGCTGAATGCAAATGCATGTCCTACTCCAATGAATCCAAGCAACAAGCTTCATGTCATGACAACCCCTTTGATAACATGACTCCTTGCAAAAGTGGGGTTGGATTACTTCACACTGATCATGCCTAATATTACGTTCTTGGTGAATAAACCAAGTCAATTTCTACAATCGGATAAGTCTGTTGCCGAATGCTATGTGGAATCACATGAAATAAAAATGGTAAACCACACCATCAGGACGGCCTACGCCAAACCCCAAGAGGGTAAATCACAAAGCACTAGCAATATATTGGGCATGCCATGTTTCGAACTTTGGATCATCTGGGTGAAATTCTGCACCTCAACCATTGAGCTCCCATTGTAGAGACTAAGCGTGGATTAGTCTATAATGGTCTATTGTCATATCGTGTTTATCTTCACAGCAACATAATCATGTACCAAGATTTACTACAAAAGTTGATCAAGAGATGTTGCTCTTGCTCAATTCAAAAGTCATTAGGTTGAAATCATTATCGTCAAAAGTTGGTTTTTCAGCAAGGGATATGATCATTGCAAGGGATATCAACCTTGGTGTGATAACTTGAGGGCTCGATGACAACTTGCTGCAAATCTTGAACAAAACATATTGTGATTGATTTTCATTATACGGGACACAAGGTATAAAAGAGCACAATGTTTATTTTGTTCGGCGATCCTAGGTGTACAAAAAAAACTTAGTGACCATTATTGAACACAAAAAGGGCCTTTATCTGATAAATTGGCTATACTTGGTCATAAGAAAGTAAATGGAACATGACAACTTATTTGAAAATTTCATTAAATACCGATCAATAATAGCTTAGTTCCATTGTTGCAAAGCAAGTTTATCCTATGTTTCCTCTTAACTAAATTCCAGTTGTATCATCTTGCCAAAGACTTCTGTAGTACCTTGTAGTACCTTATACCAGGTAAAACACAGATCACAAATTTTCATAAGAATGAAACAAATAAGTAGGTCCATAAGAACGGAACAAAGTTCATAGTTTAGTGATTAAACTTCTTATAGAAGTATCTGTCTGTCTCTCTACCCGTCTCTCTGGTTGGTTACTGTTTAATGACATTGACTTTTTGGAGAACAATGACATGGACCTTTTTATACCAACCAATAGGCTTTGTCCATGTGTAACAAACCCATCTATTTATATTCTTTTGGTTTGTAATAATCAATCAATCAACCGATGAGCAATAAAATTTCAGTGTATTCATTTTCAAATTCTTTGTTTATCATTTTTGCTATGACATTTTCTTTAATCATGTAAATAAAGAAGGGTATACAATGTTCACAACGTACATGGTACCAACAAAAGAGAGGGAAATCACAATGTCCAAGCTCGTAGACTTGAACATGAGACATCTCTGATGGATTCTCACCTCCTTACTGTCAGACTAGCTATATGGTTAGCTCCTTTAATAGGCTTGAGAATTGAAAGTTTTGCAAAGAATGGTTCAAATAACAATGATGTGGCTTAAGGCAGTCATTGCATGCAACCTAATTGTGAAATTAAGGCTCTTTGATGCACATAAGCTAGCTTGTTTTTTAAGGTTTTTGTGATTTAGTGTTTGGTGAGACTATACAGGTAGCTTATCAACTAGTTTTTTTAATAAGCTACTTGAATTAGCTTATTGATATGCTAGCATATAAATGAAAAATTAGTTTTTCAGCTACCACTCCAAACACAATCTATGTGTACCATAGTGGATCACAAACTTTATGACATGAAACATTAATGTCTTTTGCCCAACAAATGCAGTTGGGATACCATTCGATGTGAGTGAAAACAGTATAATGTCAAAGGAGACGTAGCAATTATGTTGTCCCCAACCTAACTTTAAATTTAGGTGCTGTTTTTTTTAATGGAGATTATGAAGATAGAACATAAAATAAACATCCCCTTAGTGTCCATTATTAAGATCACGGATGATCACAATTGATATGATATAAGTTTAGTTTGATGCATGCCAAATGCAATACAACTTGTTTCTTGTCTTAAGTCAACATACGTTGTTATCCATTCAACTACTTTGTCCATATTGGGCTTAAATGAAGAAAAAAAGAAGCAACATGTCCATCATTAAACTCCTTAATGATCTCGATTTACATATGTCAGCCCAGTGCATGCCAAAGTCAACATAACCTATTTCATACCGAAAGCACTAAAACCTATTTCTAGTCCTATGTCAATAGACATGGTTATCCATTCTGAATACTAGACTTGAAAGAACAAAGAAAACCTATTAGTGTTCATCATTAAGCTCATGAATGATATCAATTTATATAACAATGCGGTGCATTTGAAATGCAGTACAACCTGTTTACGCCAACAGACATGATTATCTATGACGTTGTCCACCGAACTCAAAAGGAAGTTGTCCACCGAACTCCAATGGAAAAAAAAGAAGTATCCTCTTAGTGTCTATTATTAAGTATATGAATGATCACAATTGATATACGTCTCGGCCAAATGCAATGCAACCTGTTTCTTTTCTTAAGTTAACAAACATTATTATCTATTCAACTTGTTCATATTGGACTTAAAAGAAGAAAAAAAGAAACAACCCCTTAATGTTCATTGTTAAACTCCAAAATGCTCTCTGACATAAATCAATCCAATGCATGCCAAAGGTGCTACAATCTGTTTTCTGTCCTATGTCAAAGGACATGGTTATCATTTTAGGTGCTTTGTCTATAATAGGCTTGAAAGAACAAAAAGAAACAACCCTTTAATGTTCATCATTAAGCTCATAAATGATATCAATTGACATAAGTCTTAGTACGATGCATTTGTAATGTAGTACAACCTATTTCATGTCCTAAACCAACAAACATGATTATCCATTCAGCTACTTTGCGCACACCACACTAAAAAGAAGAAAAAGAAACAAATCGATAGTTTCCATCAGGGGTGGGCATTTGGATCAGACCAGATTCGGTTCCAGCGCATGACTGGTTTTAGAGAATTCCTTGGATTGTGGACCACACCTAGTGACACAAACCGGTTTTTGGTTCTAGGACCTGTTGGACCATTCGTTGGTATAAACTATAAACTGCATGCTGGAAAAAAAATCTTATGTTAATCCGACTTCAAATGAATGAGTTATGTAATTTTTAAAAATTTCACAGATTGCACATAAAAACTGAAAAATTGAAAAACTGTCAGCTTTGATACCCTAGAATCGGGGGATTGTAGTTTATTCAGTATGAAACCAAAAATGTTGAAGTTCTAGCCTAAATTGAATTACAAATTATAAACTACATTTTTGAAAAGATCTCATGTCAATCAGACTTCAAACGAATCAGTTATGTAATTTTAATAGTTTAACAAATTAAACATAAAAGCCGAAAAACTAAAAAACTCAGCTTTGATACTCTGACTTTAGAGAACTATAACTCGTTCAATATGGAAACAAAAATGATGAATTTATACTGTTGTAGCATAAATTGAAGTACAAACTATAAACTACATGTTGGAAAAGATCTCATGTCAACCTGTCTTCATGCGAATGCGTTATGCAATTTCTAAAAGTTTCACAGAGATTATGGCTCTTCAATTTCCGGTCCAATACGCAAGAACCAACCCAACTAGAAAACCAGAACCGAAATATAGCCAATCAAAGAACCGAAAACCACACCTATTACATAAATAAAACAGGTATAAGTCAACATAAATTAGTATTCATTAATGAATGATCATGATTAACAGAATCCAATGCATGCCAAATACAGTACAACCTCTTTCCTTTCCTAAGTCAACATAGTGTCCATCATTCAACTCCTGAATGAACTTGAATTTTCAAGCTCGAGCTCGTTGAAGTGATCAACACTTTGAGCCTGGCTCAATTCCATATTTAAAAATGCAATTGCATTATATTTCAATGGGAATATGATTAATCTAATCCAATATATAAAATATGAATAGAACAAATAGTAAAAATGTAACTTTGACTCAACTCGATTACACTCACGAGCTTTACGAACTACCCCACTAGCTTTAAAACAAATGGTAAAAATGTAACTTTGACTCAACTCGATTACACTCACGAGCTTTACGAACTACCCCACTAGCTTTAAAACAAATGGTAAAAATTTAACTTCAACTAAGCTTGCAAGCATGACTTGAATCTAATCAAATGTCTAAAATATGATTTCGAATACCTTTCAAGTTGCTTCTAAATTTATGTGTTATAATAAGTGAATAAATATGTTTTCTTTTTGTGCAGTCATGTATAAAAGTTGCACTGGACTTTGTATCTCCTGAAAACGTTGGTGAATGCATCCGCTTGACAGAAGATTTCCGTGTTCTTCCCCAAAATCATAGGGCAAACGAAGATAAGTTAGAGGTAAACAATCTCTTCTGGTGGCATACTCTATGTAATCACAATAAATTTGGGTTCGTATGTTACTGATAACAGGTCAAATTGGTAATTTAGGAAAATACTTAGCAAAAAAGGTAACAGGTTATATGGCTTAAAAATCATCTGATTGGCAGAAAAGTCTGTAGATTATAGCATCCTACTCTCATGTCTTTCTATTACAACATTGTACTTTGAAAGATCTATCCGGTTGTAACAAAAGTAGGATGTTATAAACTTATAATAAACAAATGAATGAAAGTACTTACCTATTTTTTGCATATAACTCTAGTTTCTAAACAATGTGATAGTTTATTATTTTGATTTTTTAATTTCAACTGATCTGTTCTAATTTAAAATGATGCAATTGGTTGATTCACAGGTGAAGAAAATGGCACTTTATGCAGTGGAGGCAGCTGTGAAGGACTTGGAAAAGTTTGATACCGAGTAAGTGAAAACCATTTCTTCAGCCATTTTCAATCCTAGCATTAAAAAATATACAAAAACAGTGTAATTTTAGCATCAAGTTTATGCACTCCAACCACACACTAAAATTCATCACATCAGAAAACACATCTTCAATGTTTTAATAATAAAATAACTTGGTCTTTTTACATATTACACTAATAATTTTCATTTGCTTTACAAACATATATCATAAATATCAGCCAAAATTTTAAAAAACTACCACACAATGAGATTCTTAATATCTGGAAGCAAATATAACATTAGATGATTAGATTTGGAAGTATGAGTTTAACTAACAGGGAAACTTGTTTCAGAAAGGGAATTGAAACTAAATCTAAGGAATAGGCGGATGCAACCCACAAGGGAGAGGATTGTTGAGGTTCCACTTTCTGTAGTATATTGTATTAATTGCATATGATAGATTTTATCAAGTCTTAAACTGAGCTCTGAGCCCAAGCATACTTCCAAGAAACTCTTTCAAACTGTACTTGTCACTTATTAACCGATCATGTAACAGTTTGTTTTTTTGGCTTGTCCTTGAGCAAGAGTTATGGGAAATGCAGGTTTTGTGTTTTTGAGTTTGTGTTGTGTCTTTGGGTTTATGTTACTTTGTACATGTTGATCTTGTGTTTCAAAAATGGTTTAATAGGTTAAGCTATTTATGTGAATTTATGGACCCAATGGGCACTTGACTTAATCAGCTTGTATGTATGTATGTTAGTTTTATGAAATTTCAATTGCTTAAACTGTAAAAAGAATGGGGGTTACCTTGATGTGAAAATCAGGGTTTTATGAAATTTCAATTGGTTAAATTGTGACATTATGTTCTTAATGTAATGTCCTCATGTTCGATTCTAAGTACTTGGAGTTAGTTTTATGGAAGTTTAAAGAATTAATCAATCTAATCTATTATGGTTGATATTGGTGTTATGCTTTAGATCACTCACATTGGTCATTCTTTTTTACCGTTTTCTCAAAATAAATTTGTTTTTAAATGATATTTTTCTGTCTTATCAAATTATGAAAAACCTTACCATTGAAAATTTTGTTAATGTTAAAAATTATCCTATTTTGGCTTTTTTGAAAGGAACTTAAATCATACTCTTCTCTAGTGATGCGACAATGTTGGTCTAACCCAAGAGAAAGGATCTTAAATCACACTTATGGTCTTGCAAGTCTAACCCAAGAGAAAATTGAAAGCCTCACTTAATAAAGCTCTGTCTTGGACCATAAGTTCTTATCACTTTAAGAACCCATGTACTTAAAGCCTAAGTGTTACCCATGTTGGAGATTAAGTCCTTAACATACATGCACACATGTTCGCAACATATCCTGGAGTGTCTGAATGGTCCGCTCGTTCTGACGATTCGTCTGCTGATGGTAAGTGGTGCTAAGATGCAACTTCATACCCAGTTCCTCGTGGAACTTCTGCTAAAAACGAGATGTGAGCCAAACATCTCGATCCGATACAATGAAGATTAGAATACCATGTCGAACAACAATCTCTCGCACATATAAATTGGCTAATTTCTCATTCGACGAGCTCTCTTGAATGGCTAGAAAGTGGGAGCTCTTGGTTAGACGGTCCACTATAACCCATATCGCATCGAATCCCTTTGCCTTTCGAGGTAACTTGGTGATGAAATCCATAGTAATATGTTCCTATTTCAATATGAGAACCTCTAATGTTCCCATTTCCACACGAGAACCTCCAATGTCTACAGCTTGACATGTAGTCTCTGGTGCTCAGTCTTGACCATTCGACAAGTCAAGGCCCAACACTAATTTCTAACACTCTAACTTCACATAATGACCATCAACTCATGCATGGTTGAGATAAATCCATCAAGATGTCATTTTTATGAACAAGGGACCTCAAAAACATCAAGATCTACTATTCTAAGCTTTTGGAGTAACTTATACTCACATGAATCAACTCAAGGGACCAAAACATGCCAAAAACCCTAACTAGCCTAGATCTAAACAAAGAATCACCAAGATTGAGACTTCATACCTTCTGGAAGATGATGAAGGTGAATAGATTATGGATCCATAAGCTTCAAGCCAACAAATGCTTCTCTAAAAGGGTTTTTTTTTTATTATTATTTTTTTTAATTTTTTTTTAATTTTTTTTAATTTTTAAGATGCACCAAAACACACAAAATGCTCAAAACTCTCTAAAAAGGGATTAGGGTTTCGTGGGAACTTCTTTGGGACGAAGGAGGCTGATGACATAAGAGGCCTTGAGGTTATAAAGTGCTTAAATAGGGACCAAACCCTAAATTTTAGGGTTTGCCCTAGCTCGAATATGCCCGATGTGCCAGGGGAAACCTCGTGTCCAATATTCACCAAGGTACGCCCAACATACCTCAATTACGCCCATCGTAATTTCCACCATTCCAAAATAAATAAACATTTAAATTTTAAAAAATTTACTTGGAAATCGGGCGTTACATTAGACATCCTGTTTTAGGGAGAAAATGGAGGAGAAAACCAATGAAAACAACATCACATAAATTAGGATAAAAGTTTAGAAAAAAGATTATATTTCTTAAAGTTTTGATCCAAAATCAAACCAACGAATTGATCCGGTGAAAAAACTAGAACCGATATAGTTTAACCAAAGAATCGATAACCGACCCGATGACATAAAACCGATACCCGTCCGGTGGTACCTGTGTCGGTTCGGTCCAATCCATTTGTTGCTCACCCCTAGAGTCAAATATAAAAATAGAAAAATAGAAAAAATATATTTATAGAAAAAACAAATAAATCGAGGTTTAATCCAACAAAAATCCTAATATACATACAGGGTCTTTTATTTAATTGATTAATTGCAATCCTATATTTTATTTGCCATTTTTATTTAACTATTTCGTAGTTAAAAGGCATTTATTAGAATTAGAGTAAATTATGGAGTAAATTGCATCCATATAGTTTCAAACAATAAGAATGTTGGTCCCTAATCTATATAAAAAACAATATTGTACCTTTTCTACTATTTTTTTTTGTTACAATTGTTTTACTTTTAATAATAGATATTAATATGGGCTTTACATTCCAACCCAACCCCCACCCTCACCCACCTCCTTCTTCCTTTCATTCTTGTCATCATCCCCTCACATCTTCGTCTTTTTCCCCTTTCCAATCAATACCCCCCACAATAACCATTGCGTCCCTCCATCTTTTTCATCACGACGACCTAAAACTAAACTAAAGACTCTCCCATCAATATGAACCAAGAAATGCGGAAACCCCTGCCAAAAGGGATTAACAATTAGCGTTTATGTGTTATTTTAATGGACTTAATTGGATTAGGATATAGATTGGTTGTTAGACGATCTTGTGTAAGCATGAGTTTAATATAATACAAAATTGGTGGTAATTATAACCCCATTTGTAATGCAATCACAATGATTGTTAAAGAATGCTTACACCATACTCATGTTTTCGTCTTTTGTCAAAAACTACTTACTAAGATGGAAAAATACATATATTCTCTCCTTGTTATTAACATTTAGTGCCTGAACAACTAGTATGAACTGAAACGCCGTTTACATTTTTTTTTTTCTAGAATAGTGTGATCATGATGTTCATCTAAGCTTTTGGTAACACATTTAGTTGTTTTTAGGTCATTTTTGATCACTTAACTTTTGATTTTGTGCTTATTTGGTCACTTAACTCTTTTTAAGTTTTCATCGAACTTTTGGTTTTGTGCTCATTTAGTCACTTAACTTTTGGATTTGTGCTTATTTGGTCACTTAACTTTTAAAATTGTGCTCATTTAATCACTAAACTTTTGAATTTTTTTAAAAGTTTAGTGACTAAATGAACACAATTTTAAAGGTTAGGTGACCAAATGAGCATAAATCCAAAAGTTAAGTGACTAAACGAACACAAAACCAAATGTTCGACGACCTTTTAAAACTTAAAATAAGTTAAGTGACCAAATGAACACAAAGTCAAAAGTTAAGTGACCAAAAATGTAACATCCAAGATTGATTAGGTTAGTTTCTTAACTTTGGAATTTTAGTTGATGGCACTATTGGTCCCCGAGATTGGAATCTTAGCCTTTTTGAGTACGCGGGGTGTAACTTTGCTTATGCTAGGCGTAGAGGGCTCCGGGTGCGTACGATGCGAGTACATGTTGTACGCTAGGCGTACGTGGCTTAGACCAAAACCCTAGTGGGTTTGTGCACTATTTAAACCCCATTATTACCCTAAGACCTTCCCTCACCTCAGCCTCAACTATCATTTCGACCCTCTTAGCTAACCCTAGCCATTTTTGAACCTCTTGAGCTTTGTAGTGAGATTTTGAGCTCCTTTGGTGGTGAAGAAGGTGGTGCAAGAAGAAAGCTTTGTCTCCAAGACTTTAGATCCAACATTTTTTACTCATTTGTCACCACATTGAGGTACAAAGCTCACATCCTTGCTTGTGCTTCCTTAAGTTCTTGGTTGGAACAAGATTTCTCCTTTGGATTGTAACACTCAAAATTTAAGCCAAAATTTAAATTTTCAAAAACACGTCGAATTCATCAAAACATTACAACTTTGTTTTCAAAATACATTTATATCAGAGTTTTCCCAGAAACATAACATAATAGGAGGAGCTGTACGATCATGCCTTCGCCTTGCCGCGATCCCTTGAGGTACCTGAAACAATAAACTGAAACTGTAAGCCCGAGAGCTTAGTGAGTTACCCCCAAAATACCGATACACATACAGTCCACATAACAATATCAACATTAGCATATCATATCAATAAAAAACAGAACAACATGCACTGGATCCACAACTTTACAAGCTGGACTACCCCTGGGCCCTCAGTACGAGTCTGGAATGCCTACCGGGCCCTCAGCTCGTATCTGGAATGCCATCGAGCCCTCAGTACGAGTCTGGAATGCCTACCGGGCCCTCAACTCGTATCTGGAATGCTCTCGGGTTTGTTGGCTACCGCACGGAGCAGTACAACCTCAACCCACCCCACATAACATGTCGACATGTAACAGATAAATGCACATACAGGTAATCAATCAGTATCACAGGCAGTCTTACAGATCTACCCGACTAGCACATCAACTGGCATGCATCACTAACTCAAACTCAACATAACAATAACTACTAGGATATCAAATCCAATGGGCCGACCTTGGTGCCTTAGACCCCTTAGTACAGTGAGGATAACTAACCTCGCAACTGTCGTCGGAAATAAGAAAGCTCAACTCCCAGGTCCAACACGAACTCCACCTCCTAAAAGTACCACACAACCTTTTTCATAAATCTCCCAATCCCAGAAACCCACAGTATTTAATTGGTCAACCCTTGGTCCAAGTCAAAGTCCATAGTCAGAGTCAACAGTCTATGTTGACTCGACTCGCCGAGTGCAGGTCGCCGACTCGCCGAGTTCTTCCTGAGTTCGAGAAGTCGTGAAATCCTCGATTTGCTCGCCGAGGTCTCCTTTTAACTGGTCGAGTTCATATGCGGCCAAGATTTTGGGAGAAACTCTAGCCAACTCGCCGAGTTTTCTAACACTCGCCGAGTTCAAGGCAATCTTCAACGAACTCGCCGAGTTGTTCATCCAACTCGCCGAGTCCCTTAATCAACTCGCCGAGTCCATGCAGATGCTCTTTAAGCCATGGCAAGGCCCCAAATTACAGATCCAAGCTCCTAAGGC